TTGGAGGGTTTTGGGTGGGTTTGAGGAGGATTTTGGGGGGTTGGAGGGGGTTTGGGGGGCGGGAGCCAAATTTCCCTCATGAGATTCATTTCCTTGATGGGATTTGGGCTCTTTTTCCTGGTGGGATTAATTTATTTGGGATTAATTTCTCTCATGGGATTTGGGATGATACCCAAATTTCCTTGTGGGATTCATTCCCCTGGTGCGATTTGGGCTGTTTTTTTCCTGGTGGGATTCAGGATGGTTCCCAAATTTCCTTATGGGATTCATTCCCCTGATAGGATTTGGGGTGGTTCCCGAATTTCCTTGATGGGATTCAGGACGTTTCCCAAATTTTTCTGATGGGATCTGGGATTTTTCCCAAATTTTCCAGATGGGATTCATTTCCCTGGTGGGATTCAGTCTGGTTTTCCTTATGGGATTAATTTCTCTGGTGGGATTTTTGATTTTTCCCAAATTTTCCTGGTAGGATTAATTTCCCTGGTGGGATTTTGGGTGGTTCCCGAATTTCCTTGATGGGATTCAGGATGGTTCCCAAATTTTGGGGGCTCTGCTTCACCACGAGTGGGAAACACACGGAGGGACCACACCGGCCTTCCCTGTGTTAATATCCTGATTTATTTTTCTGGGAAAATGGGATTTCTCCAGGAAAATGGGATCTCCCTGGCCAGCTCAGCCCCGCTCTGATTCTCAGTCAGGGCTGTTGGTCCTCAGCTCTGCCCTAAATTCCAGTGGATGGGAGGGAACAGCCACACAAAATCCCAGGAAGAACAAGAAGATTTGGGGCTGGGAATGGGAAGATTTTGGGCTGGAAATGGGAAGATTTGGGGCTGAAACTGGGGAGATTTTGGGTTGAAACTGGGGAATATTTCAGGCTGGAAATGGGAATATTTCAGTGTGGAAATAGGAAGATTTCAGGCTGGGAATGGGAATATTTCATGCTGGGAATGGGAAGATTTTGCTGGAACTGGGAATATTTCACTCTGGGAATGGGAAGATTTGGCTGGAACTGGGAATATTTCAGCTCTCTCTCTGGGCACAGCCATTTACAGCTGAGCTCTGCCCGCTTTGCTGGGCTTCTCCTCCAAGCCAAGGCTTGAAGGAATCCCAAAAACTCCACTGCTTGTGCTGGAATTCAGCAAAACAGTGGAAACCCAGGAATTCTCATTCCCGTGGGGAAGCCACCAGAGACCCAAGCCGTGGGGAGGGTGGGGTGGGATGGGTCTGGGGGACAGATCCCCCAAATCCCCGGGGATCAGGGGATCCCTGGAGATCCAGGGCTGATCCCTGGGGATCTGGGGCTGGTCCCTGGGGATCTGGGAATCTGGGGCTGGGCCCTGGGGATGTGGGGCTGGGATTTGGGATCTGGGGCTGGTCCCTGGGGATCAGTGGATCCTTGGGGATGTGGGGCTGGGATTTGGGATCTGGGGCTGGTCCCCAGGGATCTGGGGCTGGTCCCTGGGGATGTGGGGCTGGGATTTGGGATCTGGGGCTGGTCCCCAGGGATCTGGGGCTGGGATTTGGGATCTGGGGCCGGTCCTGATCCCCTCCTGGCCTGTCCCACAGCTGCAGGGACAGCATGGCTGCCACGGCCGCCGTCAGCCCCAGCGAGTACCTGCAGCCCGCCGCCGCCTCCGCCCAGGTGAGCCCGGCCCCGGAGGGGCAGGAAACTCCCAGGGGATCTCCCGGGGGCTCCTTCCTTCCTCCCTCCCGGGGGTCTTCCTCCTTGCTGAGGGTCTGTGCTGTTCCCAGGCTGGGCTTCCAGCTGTTTGTGATGGTCCCTGGGAAACCCCAGGGAGTTTTCGGGATGTCCACAGCTTTAGGGTGGTTCTAAAGATGGTTCTAAGCTTTTTACAGTGGTTCTAAGGGTGGTTCTAAGCTTTAGGGTGGTTCTAAGGATGGTTCAAATATTTAGGATGATTTTAAGCTTTAGGGTGGTTTTAAGGACGGTTCAGATATTTAGGATGATTTTAAGGATGGTTCTAAGGATGGTTCTAAGCTTTAGGATGGTTTTGAGGATGGTTTTAAGTTTTAGGATGATTTGAAGGATGGTTCTAAGCTTTAGGATGATTTTAAGGATGGTTTTAAGTTTTAGGATGATTTGAAGGATGGTTCTAAGCTTTAGGATGATTTGAAGGATGGTTCTAAGCTTTAGGATGATTTTAAGGGCACAAGGATGGGATTTTAAAGGATTTCAGGGCACAAGAATGGGATTTTAAAGGATTTGAGGACACAAGGATGGGATTTTAAAGGATTTCAGAGCACAAGGATGGGATTTTAAAGGATTTGAGGACACAAGGATGGGATTTTAAATGTCCCCACTGCTGAAAGCAGCGAGGTGCTGGACATGGGGAGGAATTCCTTCACAGAAAAATTGGGAATTGGGATGAACTGCCCGGAAAGGTGCTGGAGTCACCTGGGGGTGTTTAAGGGAAACCTGGACGTGGCCCTCAGTGCCCCCAGGTGGGACTGGACAGTCCCAAAGATCCTTTCCAGCCTCATTTTTTGGGGAATTCCCACACACGGGTAATTAATCCTCTCCCTTAATCAGGGCTGTATCATGAGCTCTGTTGTTTTGAATTTTAAAAGTGTTACATTTTCTTTTATAGTTCTTTTGAAAGTTTTGAAGTTCTTATAAAACTCCTTCAGCTTTCTGATAATGTTTATGTATTTGAGAATCAGAGTTTTTACACATTTTATGTGGAAATAGATTAGTTTCCATATTTCTGTGTGGGTGGAGAGAAATGATTGATTGATTGATGGATGGATGGATGGATGGATGGATGGATGGATTGATTGATTGATTGATCTTTGGACCAGTGTGGTTGGAGAGGTGCTGATTCCATCCTCCAATCCACGGTCACTTCTCGAATTCTATAAATACCAGATCTTTGAATAAAACTGGTATTTTTTGGTATCTTCTGAACTTAAAAAAAACAAACAAAAAAACAATGCAAAAAAATCCAAGAAAAACTGCAAAAAAAAATCCCAAGAAAAACCGCAAAAAAATCCCAAGAAAAACCGCAAAAAAATCTAAGAAAAACTGAAAAAAAATCTAAGAAAAACTGCAAAAAAATCTAAGAAAAACTGAAAAAAAATCTAAGAAAAACTGCAAAAAAATCGCAAAAAACCCCAGAAAAACTGCGAAAAACCGCAAAAAAACCCAAGAAAAATCACAAAAAACCCCAAGAAAAACCACAAAAAAACCAAACAAAATACCAAAAAAAAAACCACCCAAAAAACCAAACGAAAAACCGCCAAAAACCCCAAAAATGGTAAAAAAAAGGTAATATTTTTAAGATTCAGAAGAGCAGAGCTGTTCCTGCCGGGGCTGGCCCTGACTGCCCTCTCTCCCCAGGACTCGCAGCCCTCTCCCCTGGCCCTGCTGGCCGCCACATGCAGCAAGATCGGTCCCCCGGCCGTGGAGGCGGCCGCGGCGCCGCCGGCGCCTCCCCAGCCCGCCCCTCGCAAGCTGGTGCCCATCAAACCCGCCCCGCTGCCGCTGGGCTCGGCCAAGGGCGGCATCGGCATCCTGTCCTCCAAAGGGAACCTCTTCCAGATCCAGGGCTCCCAGCTGGGCGCCTCCATCGCCGGCGGGCAGCTGGTTTTCGCCATCCAGAACGCGGCCGTGCTCAACAAAGGCTCGCGTTCCTCCTCGTCCTCCTCGTCGTCCTCGTCGTCCTCGTCGTCCTCCTCCAACATCCAGTACCAGGCGGTGCCGCAGCTGCAGCCCGGCGCGGCTCAGACCATCCAGGTGCAGCCTAACCAGATCCAGATCATCCCGGGCACCAGCCAGGCCATCCTCGCTCCCTCCTCTTCCTCGCACAAACCCGTGCCCATCAAACCGGCCCCGGCGCAGAAAGCGGCGGCGGGCGGCGGCGGCGTGGTCAAACTGCCCGGCGGCGGCAACGTCACCCTCACCCTGCCCGTCAACAACCTGGTGAGCGCCGAGGCGGGCGGGCAGCCCCAGCTGCTGACGGACAGCCCTTCCAAAGCGGGCAAGAAACCTCGGAAAAAGGCCACGGCGCCGGGCCAGCCCGCCGCCCTGGCCGTGGCCGAGCAGGTGGAGACGGTGCTGATCGAGACCACGGCCGAGAACATCATCCAGGCGGGCAGCAACCTGCTGATCGTGCAGAGCCCCGGCGCGGGGCAGCCGGCCGTGGTGCAGCAGGTGCAGGTGGTGCAGCCCAAGCAGGAGTCGCAGGTGGTGCAGATCCCGCAGCAGGCGCTGCGCGTGGTGCAGGCGGCCTCGGCCACGCTGCCCACCGTGCCCCAGAAATCCTCGCAGAACTTCCAGATCCAGGCGGCCGAGCCCACCCCCACCCAGGTACGGCCTCCCTGGAGTCTGCTCCCTCTTGTTCCCCTCCGCTGCTCGCCCAGGGTTTGGGGCTGGAGGGTTTTGTGAGATATTCCCAGCTTGGGGGTGGTTCAGGCGTTGCTGAGTGGATTCTCTGGAGATCAGGGGTGCAGCTGTGCCCTCTGCAGGGATTTAGGAGCTCCAGCTCCTTTTTCAGGGTCCTGAAGCCTCCCCAGTGCCACAGCTGGGGTTGGGAAGAGCCAGCTGGGAGCCCCTGGGACACGAATGGGGGAGGGAGAGGGGTTGGTGTCTTTGTGTTGCCTTGGGCAAAATCCAGGAGTAAATCCAGGAGCTTTCTCCTTTCTCCAGCGGTCCCACAAAGCTCCAGACTCACTTCCCAGTGAGAGGGAGGAGGGGCTGGGATGCATTTCCCAGACAAGCTGTGGCTTCCCCATCCCCGGCAGCATCCAAGCCCAGCTTGGACCACCCTCCTCCAGCAGAACCAAGTTAAAACAAGACAAAAACTCCAAACAAAACCCCACCAACCCCAAACCATCCCACCACTCCCAAGCTGCACGGGGCCCATCAGATCCCTGCCAAATCCCGCTCCTCTTCTGCGGGGGCGCCGGGCTCCAGGACAGTTTGGGTGGATGGAGACCAGAGATCTCTGAAGCTGCTCTTAGAATATCTGGTTTATTAGAGAGGGTGGAAGGCCCTGCTTGGAGTCACCAGAGGTGACCCGTGGCAGGCCCTAGGGAGTGGGGGCAGGGAGAAGCAAGGGGTACAGGGAGATAAGAGGATGCTCCAGGAGAGGGGGGAAGTTCCAAGAGGGTGGGAGTTCCAAGAGAGGGGAAGTTCCAAGAGAATGGAAGTTCCAAGAGAGTGTCTGGCTCCTCAGGGACTCCTTATCAGGGGCTTCAAGGTGGGCTGGAACAAGACTTGGGCCAATGGGGTCACAGACTCCTGATTCTTCAGGGGAGGGTTACAGGTGTGGGATGAACCACACATTGGGGTGAGATCGAACAGTCCATCTGACCCTTGGACCTACTGTAGGTAAGGGCATTGTTCAACCAGAAAGGGGATTGTTTTCATCCTGGCTGTATTATTGTCTTCTACTTGTGCAGTAACTAAGGTTTGGTATGTCACAAACAAAGTGGGAGTAGGAGTAGGAGGAGCAGGAGGAGATGTTACCATCTCAATCTCCATATTTCCTAAATCTTATTGCCAGGCAATCCTATTTATAAGGCTTTTCTTGTTCCATCTTCCCCAACACTTCCCTCCTGGCCTGCAGGTGTACTTCAAGACGCCGTCGGGCGAGCTGCAGACGGTGCTGCTGCAGGACACCTCGTCCATCCCGGTGCTGCCGCCGTCGGGGCCGGCGGGCGGCCCCGCGCCGCGCAGCCCCGGCCGCAAGCCGGCCCCGCGCAAGGAGCGCCCGCTGCCCAAGATCGCCCCGGCCGGGGGCATCCTCAGCCTGAGCGCGGCGCAGCTGGCGGCGGCCGCCCAGGCCATGCAGACCATCAACATCAACGGCGTGCAGGTGCAGGGCGTGCCCCTCACCATCACCAACAGCGCAGGTGGGCGCCAGCGCCGGGGGGCTCCCGGAGCTTCCCGAGGGCGGGCATGGGCGGTGGGATCAGCCCTGGAGCAGATCAGATCAGATCAGATCCTGAGGGTGACAGGGACTGAGCTTCCCGAGGGTGGGCATGGGCGGTGGGATCAGCCCTGGAGCAGAGCAGATCAGATCCTGAGGGTGACAGGGACTGAGCTTCCCGAGGGTGGGCATGGGCGGTGGGATCAGCTCTGGAGCAGATCAGATCAGATCCTGAGGGTGACAGGGGACTGAGCTTCCCGAGGGTGGGAATGGGCGGTGGGATCAGCCCTGGAGCAGAGCAGATCAAATCAGATCCCTCCTGCTCCTGAGGGGAACAGGGAGAGTGTGCAGCTCCCGGAGCTTCCCAAAGATGGAAGGTCCTTGGATCAGATCAGATCAAATCAGATCCCTCAGGCTGCTGAGGGGGACAGTGGGCAGCTCTGTGAGCTTCCCGAGGGTGGGCATGGGCAGTGGGATCAGCCCTGGTGCAGGTCAGATCAAATCAGATACTGAGGGTGACAGGGACTGAGCTTCCTGAGGGTGTGGATGGGCAGTGGGATCAGCCCTGGAGCAGAGCAGATCAAATCAGATCCCTCAGGCTCCTGAGGGGGACAGGGACTGAGCTTCCTGAGGGTGGGGATGGGGAATGGAATCCTCACCAGATTTAAACAGATCCCTCGTGCTCCTGAGGGGGATGAGGACAGTGGGAAGCTCCCTGAGCTTCCTGAGGATGGGGATGGGGAATGGAATCACCCCTGGATCAGATCAAATCAGATCCCTCGTGCTCCTGAGGGGAACAAGGACAGTGGGAAGCTCCCTGAGCTTCCTGAGGATGGGAGGTGTCTGAAACAGATCAGTTCAGATTGGATCAGATCTCTCGTGCTCCTGAAGTGGACAGGGACAGTGGGCAGCTCCCTGAGCTTCACAAAAATGGGAATGTGGAATGGAATCCGCTCTGGATCAGATCAGATTAAATCAGATCCCTCGTGCTCCTGAGGGGGACGAGGACAAGGAGCAGCTCCCTGAGCTTCCCAAAGATGGGATGTCCCCAGATCAGATCAGATCTGATCCCTCGTGCTCCTGAGGGGGACAGGGACAGTGGGCAGCTCCCGGAGCCTCCCAAGGATGGGATCTCCCCGGATCAGATCGGATCCCTCTTGCCCCCAGGGGCTCTGCAGTGTCAGCACCTCCTGCAGTCACTCCCACGAGCCGGGAGTGTTTCCCAGAGTGTCCTTTGGGTGATTCCCAGCACGTCCTGGAGAGCTGTGGGTGACAGGGATGGCTGCCTGCCCAACCTGGCTGTGCCAAGCTGGGGAAGCACCTGAGGTTTCCTGGGGCTGGAGCATCTCCTTTGATCCCATTCCAGATCCCATTCCAGGGCTGGAACATCTTCCTTGGATCCCATCCAGATCCCATTCCAGATCCCATCCCAGGGCTCGAACATCTTCCTTGGATCCCATCCAGATCCCATTCCAGGGCTGGAACATCTCCCTTGGATCCCATCCAGATCCCATTCCAGATCCCATCCCTGGGGCTGGAACATCTCCCTTTGATCCCATTCCAGATCCCATTCCAGGGCTGGAACATCTCCCTTGGATCCCATCCAGATCCCATTCCAGATCCCATCCCTGGGCTGGAACATCTCCCTTGGATCCCATTCCAGATCCCATCCCTGGAACATCTCCCTTGGATCCCATTCCAGATCCCATCCCTGGGGCTGGAACATTTCCTTTGGATCCCACTCCAGATCCCATCCCCTGGAACATCCCCACCCCTGGCAGCGAGGAACTCTCCACGCTCCCAAGCCCAGGAGAGGCACATTCACCCCCCCAGCTCCATTTTTCCAGCTCCACATCCAGGGATCCCCATTCCAGGGCGGGAACCCCTCGCTCCAGGGATCTTCCCGAACCCCAAACCCGCCGGGCTCGGCCCCGCTGCTCCCGGTGCCGGGAGCGTCTCGTCCTCACGTCCCTGTCCGGTCCCACGGAGCCCAGGGGAGGCAGCTGTGTCTGCAGGGAGCTTATCTCTTATCTCTTATCTCCTCCCTGAGATAAGGCCGCTCCTGCTGCCTCCCTTCTTTCTGCCCCTCTGCTCCTCCTCAACACAAACCCCAACCCCGGCGCCATTTCCCGCTCCGCCGTTCTCCCAGGATTGGCTTTTGTGGCGCAGGGGGGGATTGAATTAATTGGATTAATTAGCTCTTTCAATCAGTGTGGAGGGGACCGGTAGGACCTGCTGCCCACGGGGTGCGCCGAGCTGAGCCAGCCTCAGCCAGGACATTCCCACCTCCTCCCATCCTTCGGCTTCGCGCTGCCGCCGGATCCCTCGCTCCCTCGCTCCCTCGCTCCCTCCCTGCTGCTGTGCTCCTGCGCTGCCAAACCCCACTTGTTCTTCCCTTCCTCCTCCTCCTCCTCCTGCTGGGAGCAGCAATCCCAGTCCTGATCCCAATCCCGATCCCGACCCCGCTTGCTGACGCTGACCCCGTCTTCTTCTTTCCAGCCCCTGTCACGGCTGCCAGGGACGCCCGAGCCTGGAGCGGCCCTTAGGCTGGCTGCTGGGGTAAGTCCCGTTTTTTTGCTCAATATATTGCACGTTTTTTCAAAGTTTCTTTTTTTGTTTCCTCTTTTTGAGCCTTTTTTTCCCCGCCCCCCTAAAAGGGTCGAAAAACTTTTTTGAAAACTTTGAAAAACCGCACAGTATATTCAGAAAAAAGGGACTTACCGGGAGAGGCACGCGGCAAAGGGGGGCTGTGCTGCATGAGGGGAGAAATCTGGGATATTCCCTGCTCCAGAGGGTCCGGTGGGAGCAGCGTGGATGGATCCTGACTGCTCCTTTTCCCTCCCCAGGCCAGCAGCAGCTGACGGTGCAGAACGTGGCCGGCAACAACGTGACCATCAGCGGGCTGAGCCCCACGCAGATCCAGCTGCAGATGGAGCAGGCGCTGTCCGGGGACATCCAGCCCGGAGAGAAGAGGAGGAGGATGGCCTGCACCTGCCCCAACTGCAAGGACGGCGACAAGCGGTGGGT